TTCAGTTTTTTGCTATTTAGGATGATTTTTCTCCATTCTTCACTTACTTTTTGTACTTTATTTGCTTGTTAGTGATTTTTGCTCCTACATCTTTCAACACATTCAGCTCATTTTGACAGTTTTGCTTACTTTCAGCTTCAGTTCAGCTATTAAGCTGATTCAGCTAACAGTTTAAGCTATCCAGCATTCAAACAGCGTTTCTGCCAGGAATGCAATTTATCTAGTTAGGATTGGATTTCAGCTGTAAAGCATCAGAACCTGTCGGCTAAAACTCACCTGAACATGACATGTGCTCCTAAATGAATAAAATCACATTTTAATGTTTAAATAAAACAAACCAGGATTATATCAGATTTATTTTCCTGTTATCTGTAAAAGAAAATCTTTAGGAACAATCCTCCAATCAGAATACTGATCCACTTAGTCCTTTCAAAATAAAACTACAAAACAAACTCATGGATTCATCAAAAATGTGGTTTGAAAGCAAAAGTTTAAAAACTAAAACCCGACCAGAATATGATGCTCTTCTTATATCACCGTTAACCGCATTAAACATTCCTGATGTCAGATTAAAACCAGATTATTAGTTCAGATAAATAAAAACACGCTTTTAGTCTTCTGCTCAAATTCACGTGTCCATTAAAACAAAGTCATCCAGACTGATGCGCCAGTTTGTTCCGTCACAAATGAAAGATCAGTGATTCCCGATTATGGAAAACTTCTACACTCCACACACAAGAAGATGTTCTGCTGCTGAGGACAGAGGACAGAGACGTCTGCCAGCTGATGTCGCTGAATCACTGGACCCTGAATTACAGATATGAGCTCAGTGATTACAGCAGATTACAGAACAATTGTCTGCGTCAGTCAACCAGAACAACCAGCGAATGTCCTCCAGTCTCAAATTGTCCGGGGTGTCTTCCTCCAGGGACGGATGGGACAGAAAATCTGATTCAGGTCCTTTAATTGGATAACAGAAGAGCAAAGATTTCTGCATAAACCAGATTAAAATCTGAGAGATTTGAAACAGAATTCTTCCTTCTGGAGGAAGTTTTTCTTTCTGTATCACCAGTTAGAATCGTGAGGAAGGAGAAGGAACCATCAAGTCTCCTGCGGACCATCCTGGACTCGTGTCATCTGAGGTAATCTGTGAGAGAATGTCAGACAATCACGATCAGGGGTCAGAGGTCAGGGCTAAAGGCCGGCACTGCAGGTTGGCACATTAACCTTCCGTGTCTCAGATGTTTTGAGGGTGGAGGTCAGACAGCAGGAGGTGGAGATGTTCCTCCTGCAGAGAGGAGCTCCTTCACCATCAGGAAAGTCCAGGTGTAGGAGGAGCTTCATCCTGGGTGATGACTTTCCAAAATACAGATTTATGATTGAGCTGTGAGTTCAAACCTTAAACATTTAGTAAAAGTTTTGTTCTGGCTTGTATTTTTTATTGTCCTTCCAGTCGGGAGACGATTGGAGTCCTGAACGTGGACCATCATGAGTGTAAACGTGAGGTTGCTGCTGTAAGGCGTGTCATGATTTCCCACCGGCCTCTGGGAGGATCTACCGGTTCGTGTTTCTGCAGCTTCTGAATGAGAAGACCTTTCTAAAGTCTGAGAGAGTGTGAAAGTCATAATTATTGATGTTTTTCCCTGGTGAGGAGTTCAGAAGAAGCTCAGACGGCTGAGGTCTCTCCTCAGCACCATCCACCCCCACCCAGACCTCCTGATGCAGCTCTGCTGCTTAAGGTGCTCCTCAGGTTCTTCAGTCTTCCTCTCAGAAGCTCTGTTTGTCTCATTTCCCTGTGTCCTCTCTGACCCGTTGGAACACTTTCAGGTACCGCCGCGGCCCAGCGAGGCTCTGTGATGGGGCTCCAGGGCTTGTTGCTTGGCAACAGGCAGCAAGCCGGCCCATGCGGCAGCGCTGGCTTTATGTAACAGAGCATTTGATAGTTGAATGTAGGACGCGTCGTCTCTGGGGGGAGGGGGGTGTCGGCCCATCACACACACACACACACACACACACACACACACACCACCGCTGCATCATGAACAAGAGAACGACGGGGGGGGGGGGGGGGGGGGGGCTCTCTCCAGCGGGTCAATGGGCAATCAGGCGGGGTACACCCTGGACAGAGAGCCAGTCCATCGCAGACTCAGCAAATATATTGTAGTTTCAAATGATAACACATGAATAAATATCAAAGTTGTCAAACGTCAACATTTATGTCTAAATCACAGCTGGAATACAGTTTATTTCTGTTTTTGCTTTAATAAAAATTAGTTATTCATTTTATTTTTGGTTTTCAGAGCCAACAGACTACAGATTATTTAATAATTTGTTTAATAAATAATCCATCCCTGGATAAACCTTGAATTGTGGTCTAATCTGATCCACGTCTCAGCTCACAACCTGCTCTGTTACCTTGACGATGAGCTCACGAGAAACGTAAAGCCAGCAGATTAAACTTCTCAAACAGAACAGGCGAAAAGCCTCTGAAACTTTAGATAAGTTTATCTGAAGCTCATAACATTTCTAGTGATCAGGAGAATGACCTGAGGCCAGGTGTCACAACAAGCTCCTCCCACATGATGCTGGCGTTACAGCGAAGGGACCTGCAGGAGGCTCAGAACAACGTGTCACAGGAACAGGAAGTGATTGTTTACAATCCTGGCAGGTTGTCATCATGGTGCCAATCAGATTCATTTAATTTGACCTTTGACCTGAAGACTCCAGACTCACCGTCATGTCACAGACCAGGAAACCATCTTAGTGAATATGGAGGGGAGCGGTGACTCTATTTGACCTTGGCTCTGATGTGTTGATAAGAGCTCAGCTGGGACGCCACAGGCTCTCTGGGTTCGTGTAAACATGGCCGACCCTCAACACTGCTTAGCAACACAAAACACCACCTTTAGCCTCCAAACAGATGGCGTGAGGGAATGATGATCAAAGTGTGATTTTAGGACAGATGGGTTTATTATTTACCATCTTCAAATTGAGTCTCAGACAGGAAAAATCTCCTAACTCAAGGGATGAGCCGGTTTGAAACGTCAACAAAAAATGAAAGAAATCAAAGTGAATCATAAATGAGGATCTTATGAATCATGGATGGAAGGATCAGACTGAGAGGGATGATGAACAGTCAGACTGGATGGATGGATGAATAGATGAATGGATGGATGAGTGGGGTTGGAGGTGGTTGTGGGCACAGATCCCATTAGGTGAGCTGGTTCTGGAACCGTTTCATCCTTTAGCTTCTCCGTCTGAACTTCTCCATGTCTGTGTGACAAAGTGAATGTGTGATATGTAGGAAGTTACCAGTGAGGATCCAATCCAGTTTAATCTATTTTGGGTTGTTTTAAGTGTTCAAGGTAATTTTTGTGATGGTTCTGAGCCTCATGTGAAGATGGTTCTGTAGAACATCATCAGAACTGTTCCTGTTGGTCTGGAGCTCCTCTTCAACCCCAGACAAAGATGGAGACACTTCCAGTGTGGGTCATAAAGACACGAGCACACAGATGGAAGCTCAACATGCGGATGTTACCATAGCAACCCCATCCTCCAAGTCTTCCTGTCCTGCTGTTTCCTCCTCCTTCATGTCAATCCAAACATGAGAGAGAGAGAGAGAGAGGATCGATACCTGCTGGAACACTCGGTGTTTGTCGCTGCCGTGGCGACCACACTCTGAGAGGTTTGATATCGATTTTCTGATTTATTCATCACTGATGTTTCCATGAGGAGCATCACTTCCTCCTGTAGACTAAAAACAGATAGAGATAGAGATAGATAGATAGATAGATAGAGAGAGAGAGAGAGAGAGAGAGAGAGAGAGAGAGAGAGAGAGAGAGAGAGAGAGAGAGAGAGAGAGAGAACTACAGCTCCAATAATAAACGTGAACATCATAAGCACACGGTTCCTCTGTTCTCCTCAGACTGATGCTCTGGTTATAGGTGGTTATAGAAGGAGCAGCAGCAGGTTGCAGAACTTCTGGAGATGGACCTCCTGGATTCTGCTGCCACCAAGTGGGGAAGTCCACAAACTACAGGAAGATGTCTCACTGACATTATAAACTTTTATTTGGTGACCATCGATGTTTATAGCTATTTGATGAGGCTGTCACTGTGAGGAGGAAAATTCCCAGAATTCCCTGCAGCAGCATCCTCCTGTTGGATCGGATGGATTAAGTTTCCCATGTTAGTCAGTAAATAACATTTTTCCTGGAGCAGGTTTATTATCACCCTAGAATAAAAATATGGAAGTTGAATCAACTCCAGAAAATTCCTGTTTCCGATTGGACCCCCCAATAGATGACCTTATAGACGGTTCTAACAGGAAACAGTAGCTGCTGTTTTCCGCTTGGTCCTAGTGCTCAACTAGTGTCTATTTAATACAGCGTAATAGTTTTTGGACGGTAAAGAGTGAAGGGACAAATATTGACTTTGGAAAAGTGGGAGGGACATGCCCCCCCCCCAAAAAAAAAACTACGCCCCTGGCCTGACCATCAGACCTTCAGAGGTGGCCTTTCAGTCTCGACTCTCAGCTTCAACATAATTAAAGTCTAAAAGACTCATAAAAATGAGATAAAATCAAAGCAGAGAAGCAAAACATTGTTTTAAAATATAAAGTTAGGAAATATAAAGCTAAAACTAAAAATAGTTTTAAACTTCTTCATAGATTAGGTTTATCGGGTTGGTTTTATTTTTAGGATTCTAGCGACACAAAAGTTTTTTTCTTTTATAAAACTCATTTATTTATATTCATAATGAAGCTTTTTATTTATTTTTGCTGTAGTTGTGGAAACATTTCCCCTCCTGCTGCTTCATGTCGACACATCAGCCTCCTCAGAATAAAGCTGTTCGTCTTTCTGCTACCATTAAATGTGTTTCCATAGCAACACCGTAAAATCAGAACAGTTACCCTAAAACACAAACCGCACCTGAAAGGTTTTATAACTAAAGTCTGTTAAAAATGCATTTCATCATTAGAAAAAGCCAAAAAGACACAGGTTCTATAAAAATTAGACCCCTTTTATTGTGTTTTCATATATAAAAGAAATAGAAAAAGAAAGATGGCCACCGGGCTCTGAGCGGGATCGGGTCCAGGGTTTATAGTGGAGGGCGGGTTCAGAGGCCAGGAGGCTTAAAAAGGAAAACAACAGGAGGAACGTCGGTGTGATGGTCTGAGATCTGTAGAACCAAAAGAGGAGGAGAACGGAACACCGAGGCTCCGCCCACTAACCTCCCTCTCTCCTCCTCCTCTAACGGAGAGTTCCAGTTCCAACATTCATTAGAGTAGAACCGTTCTGGAGGCAGAACACGCCTGGTTGATGGAGTTAAACCAGACTGAGTTTTCTTCAAACTTGGGAAATAAAACAAAAAATCATGGTTGAACTTTGACCTTTAGCGATTAGCTAAACCTAAAAACAGAGGAAACTGCTGTTGGAATAAAGATACTTTTCCCTGCGGGGAACTTCCTGCATGAATGGGGCCGAAAGCCCCGCCCACTCACCTGCACACAGTCAAGGTGTTTTCAAACATCCCATAATAAAAAAAACATGGTTTCACCTCGCAGCAGCAGCAGGATCCAGCCACAGCTGGAAATTTAGATCTGAGAGATTAGTACTGAGTCAGGAACATTTGTTTACATGTAAGGGGCGGGGCTTAAATGCAGGAACAAACTGCTAGGGGGCGGGGCTTAAAATAAATACAGGAACCAGCCACTAGAGGGAATCAGCCTGGTGCTGGGGCTTCTCCAGACCTAACTCTGCTGGACCACGGTTTGGATTCGTCTCTCAGGCTCCCTGGAGCTTCTGTAGGACTAGGATGGAAGCGACTCCCTGGGATTCACGGAGAGCTCCGTGTTTACTTTTGCTCCAGCGAACAGCTGATTGGCAGGAAATCACTTAATCCTACGGTCCTACTGGAGGGTTTTCTGCAGCTCAGACGTCAGTGAGAAGAACGTTTACTTATTCATAAATAAAAACCAACACACGAGGCTGAGTTATGACTCAGAACCACAGAGGTTTAACTCATCCACAGGGACGGTTCTGCGTCTGAGGAACCAGAATGAACCAAAAACTTCAGGGTAACTCCGTTTTATCAGCAGCTTCAGTGTGATGGCCCCCTCCCCCCTCAGAGCCACTGGGCGCCAACAACGTCCTGCGGTTGTAGTGGTGGTGGCCCTTCATGATGCCCGAGTTGTTGTTCTCGTTGAGAATCTGCTTCTGCTTCTGCCGGTTGAGCGACTGGACCAGACCCAGCACCACGGCCGCCAGCGAGTACTGGCCCGTTATCTTGCGGGGCTGCATGATGAGCGGGTTGGGCTGAACACGGCCCAACAGAAAATGTGTTCGGATTTTGCCTTCCTGCTCGCTGATGCCCTTCACGTAGATCTCTCCGCGGTACTCAAAGGCGAAGCCACGCTCCTTCAGGATCAGGAAGGTCTCCTCGGGGACTTGGATCTTCCCGCTCACGCCGGTGCTGTCCATCCGGCTGGCCAGATTCACCGTCTTCCCCCAAATGTCGTACTGTGGCTTCTTGGCACCGATCACACCTGCGACCACGGAGCCGTGAGCCATGCCTGTGAACCGAGAGAGCCCGGGTCTGAGCCACAACCGTCAACACGTTCAACCAACCAGAAAAGAAAGAGGAGCTCACCGATCCGCAGCTCAAAGTTGTTGAACGAGTGTTTGTTGATCTCCTGGATGCTCTCGTTGAGCGCGATGGCGAAGTCAGCCAACGCACACAGGTGACCCCATTTATCTTCACACTGCTGTGGGAGAAGAGCGGTGATGAAGAGGACGTTAGTGTGAGAGGCACATCAGACACCCGCTAGAGATTCAACACAACATTCTACAGAACCTCCTGACACTCAACACGACCTTCTACAGAACCTCCAGAACGTTCTGACACTCAACACGACCTTCTACAGAACCTCCAGAACCTCCTGACACTCAACACGACCTTCTACAGAACGTTCTGACACTCAACACAACCTTCTACAGAACCTTCTGACACTCAACACGACCTTCTACAGAACCTCCAGAACCTCCTGACACTCAACACGACCTTCTACAGAACGTTCTGACACTCAACACGACCTTCTACAGAACATTCTGACACTCAACACGACCTTCTACAGAACCTCCAGAACCTCCTGACACTCAACACGACCTTCTACAGAACGTTCTGACACTCAACACGACCTTCTACAGAACCTCCAGAACCTCCTGACACTCAACACGACCTTCTACAGAACGTTCTGACACTCAACACGACCTTCTACAGAACCTCCAGAACCTCCTGACACTCAACACAACCTTCTACAGAACCTCCTGACACTCAACACGACCTTCTACAGAACGTTCTGACACTCAACACGACCTTCTACAGAACCTCCAGAACCTCCTGACACTCAATACGACCTTCTACAGAACCTCCAGAACCTCCTGACACTCAATACGACCTTCTCTTTGGGACTAAACCCTCAACTGACCAGTCTCCCCAGAGAGGACCCAGATTAACGTCTCCAGATATTTAATGAGGTAAAATATGAAACAGTTTATTTACATTTTTACTGATTGATGTGAGGAACGCTCCGGAATGTTTTCTGCTGTGTGTTTAACAGATTCCTTAAACATCTTTTGTACGTTCTTGCTGTGTTTGCCTCCTAATTCCATTTTTGGTTCATTTTTAAACACAGATAAGGTTTTTCTTTACCTTGCTGACAGTTTCGTCATCCTCAGAGCTGACGTCAGCTCAAACGAAACCGTCAGCAAGGTGAAGAAAAACCTTATCTGTGTTTAAAAGAGAATCAAAAATGGAATGAACTGATTCCTGTTTAAATGAATCCTCCATACATCATCAACAGCTGTTTTAGAAGGTAAACACCATGCAGACGCATCTGTATCGCGTCCGTCGGTCTAGACTGAACCAGGTCTTTGAACACACGCTGAAGGTGAGATCAGCTAAAACTAAAGTTAAAAAGTAAATAAATCATTCCTAAAGTAAAAAAAGCTCAGGTCAAAAAGGAATTCTGGTTTAAAAACACATTCAGACATGAACTAATCCACGTTTTCCATGAATGTGGATGTTCTGACTCCACACAGGAAGTCCAGGCTGATGAACCTCACCTGTTTTTCAGGAGAGAGACCAGACACGGCCATGTAGGTGCTGCCGATGGTCTTGATCTTCTCGATGTCCTGGAATCGGTCCTCGCCCAACAGCTGCAGGAAGAACGTGTTAGACGTTTATTTTCTCTGATCTGGAGTCTGACCTGAAGGTAAAACGTTTCTGTTATTTAGCCGTGAAAATAAAATCTTTTCTGACTGAACACAAGGAAAACCAGGAATTCTCGCACTCCCGAACAGAGTCCATGTCTGCATCCACCACAACTTTCTCCCAAACAGATCCGGTGGGACTTTATTTTGTGTCCGTCCGGTTCAGGCGGATAAGAACCCCACAGACTCGATTTGAGTCATAAACCCGTAAAATCCCATCAGCTCAGAGGGATTTTATCCCAGAAAGTTTCAAAGTTTCACAGAAAGATTCTTAGAAGCCTGAATTTTCTTTACAGATAAAATCCCGAACCGGAGTTCTGGTCTCTTCTCTGACCCAGAAGACCATATTCAAAAATTCATTAAAACTCATCCTGAGTAGTTGATGTCCAACTTTCAACACATCCCTCCTCTGGGACACCTACTGTACCTGTGTGCCAGATTTCAGCCAGATTTACTGTAGAATTCCTCAGATATTAAAGCAAACTTGTATTCAGTCCAATACAGTCAATACAATTATGTCCAATTCAAAAATTCATTAAAACTCATCCTGAGTAGTTGATGTCCAACTTTCAACACATTACGACTCTGGGACACCCACTGTACCTCTGTGCCAGATTGCAGACAGATTTACTGTAGAAATCCTCAGATATTAAAGAAAACTTGTATTCAGTCCAATACAGTCAATACAATTGTCATTTTCAAAAATTCATTAAAAATTAGTCTTAATAGTTGAGGTCAAACAACAACATGGACAATATTTGCTCAGAAACTCTCCATCTATAAAATGAATCAACTCCTGTTGGTCTTCTGAAATAATAGTTCAACTTGTTTTGATTTTTTAAAACATGTTCTGAATGATTACAAAAATGTTTAGAATGGAATATGTTTTACTTAGTACACAGAGGGGTGAGATGATGTAATTTAAAAGCATAGTAACAAGCAGGACACGGAGGACAACAAAACTGTGATGAACTAAGACAAAGCCCTTTATTGTGGCTGATGGAAGAAACATGAACATACAACAAGGAAAAACGTAACAGGTTACAATAAGTAATTAGTCCTGAACTGGGCGAGGCTAAACTACGACTGCTATGAATATTACTGTGACTATGACGACACTACTACAGACCTGCTCGCTGATGCCCTGAGGTACAATATGAAGGGGTACACCCAAGACTTGAACATGAGAAGGGAAAACAGACTTTTAAAACAGGAAACATGAAGAATGTATACGCCATATTAACTTCACAACATTAACATACAAGGGAGACTGGAACGTGATGGGAGGTGACACAAAAGGATCTATGTAAACAAAGGAGTAAAGACTGAGCAACTATGAGCTGTCATGGAGAATTAGAAAAATGTTACATAAAGTATCGACAAAATAAAACTAGTAAATAATAACAGCAAAAACAACAATTACAATCATTCAATGAATCAATAGTAATCTGTATCAACAAATACCAAAACAAATGCAAAAAGGGTTGGGTCGCATACCCAAACTGCGATAATCACATTATTTTCTTAATTTAGTGTAATTTTTTATACAAAAGGTATTAAAATGAAAAAGACTGCAATACAAAATCAAAACGAACAAGCTCTATTTACAGTTCTGAAATACATAACCTTTATATGTACACATACAAAATTTCTAAATAATATTTACACCTGTTCCTCAGTTTCTATCAATACAAATAAGAACTTACATGACATTAGTCAACCTTATATACATTTTACAAATTAAATACGAGCATTTATTTTTCACAGAGAGCGCACTCCCATTCTGCAGCCTCTGTCTTCTGATACAGCTCAGTGTTCATCTGCAGGCACTGTTTGTGAAACCACCTTGAACAGCTGTCACACTGGTTCTGTGAATGTTCAACAAACCAAAAATAAAAAATACAATTCTTTTATCACGTGATTTAACATGAATATCTTTATTAATCCGCCATTACTATGTCTTGCATATTTTCTTTACATATCAATTATTCAAAATAACTAACACACCAAGCCAAAAAAAAATTAATGCAAGTTTAGGCTAAATTTCCCCTCTTCCTCAATACAAAAACCAAATAACAAAAGCAACTGTACACAATAGATTTTGTTAAATAATATCCTCAGTTACAAATCTGTCTTACCCATTTGGCGATAGAAGGCCCTGGAAAAGGTGGTTTTGGAGTTGAACACATGGCGCAATTGTTTTCTGCCTCGAACACTATTACAAATACAGTAAAATTTGTGATTGACAATGAATATATTTAAATACAAGTAATCTCTTTGTGCTGTAACACTTCACAAACCTGAGGCTCCCAGTATTTGTAAAGCAATTGCTTCACGCTGCTGTACCATTGCTTTAATTGTTGTTTCAAATGTCATGTCTGGTATTTTGGGAAAGGACTCCATGAACGCCTTAGCCATCTACAGCAATAATGCTGGACGGCAAACAGAAAACTGTTCTGAACTAGAACACAAAATGAACCAGCTCGGCATGGTGGCGGTATTGACTGTATTGGACTGAATACAAGTTTTCTTTAATATCTGAGGAATTCTACAGAAAATCTGTCTGAAATCTGGCACAGAGGTACAGTAGGTGTCCCAGTGGAGGGATGTATTCACAGTTGGACATCAACTACTCAGGATGATTTTTAATGAATTTTTGAAATTGACATAATTGTATTGACTGTATTGCATTTAATACAAGTTTGCTTTAAAATCTGAGGATTTCTACAGTAAATCTGGCTGAAACTTGGAACACAGGTACAGTAGGTGTCCCAGAAGAGGGATGTGTTGAATGTTGGGCATCAACTACTATAAAGTCAGCAAAGATGCACAGAAAAGAAGACCAGACACGAGCGAGGGAGGATAAGAAAGACAGACGCAACAGCCGGTGTATCAGAGAAACTCAGGAGGGTTTTCTCCAAGCACAACATACCAGTGTATTTCAGGCCCAGGAACACACTCAGACAGAAACTGGTTCACCCGAAAGACAAAACTCCTAAACACAAACTGAACAATGTTGTGTATGCTGTACAGTGCAGCGAGGAATGCCCAGACCTCTACATCGGAGAAACCAAACAGTCACCTCACAAGCGCATGGCACAACACAGAAGAGCCACCTCCACGGGACAGGACTCAGCAGTCCATTTGCATCTAAAGGACAAAGGTCACTCTTTCGAGGATGCCAACGTTCACATTTTGGACAGAGAGGACAGATGGTTTGAAAGAGGAGTAAAGGAAGCCATTTATGTCCACTGTGAGCAACCATCTTTGAACAGAGGCGGTGGTTTACGACACCAACTGTCTGCCATCTATAATCCAGTTTTGAGATCCCTTCCCAGATGCCTCAACGCCCACCCATATCCTGGGCCATCTGACCTCAGGAATTAACATGATAGGGTGGGGCCAGGCTTCACAATGAGCTCACCCGAAACTCTGGCTGAATAGGACCCACACCCACCCTCACACCTTGGCTCATGTGTTTATGTAGAAGATCATCAGGGGGTCTTTTGTTCCCTCTTCGGGGGGAAACTCCCACTGGGTTTAAATGTGGGACTCCACCATTTGACCTTAGAACTGAAGAAGCCTCTCGGATGAGAGGTGAAACGTGTTCAAGCAACTCAAAGAAGTCCAGACGCTTTTCTTTCAAAGCTCATTAGACATCAACTACTAAGGATGATTTTTAATGATTTTTGGAAGGGAGGAGGGATGTGTGTTCAAAGTTGGACATCAACTACTCAGGATGATCTTTAATGAAATTTTGAATATGCAACCAGTGTCACGATGGTTGTATTGGGCTGTTCCATTGTAATTTGTGTGCATGTGTGTGTTCATGCACGTGCACGTGCGCCTAGTCTTTCTATCGGGAAATAAAGCGAGAAGGCGGTACTGTAAAGACTGGTGTAAAAGCGCGAGGAAATTTACACGGCGGATAAGAAGCGGCTGGCTTGACCACGGCTCACAAATGACGGCTCACTTGACCGCGGTACCTGAGCTGGTGGCCCTACGTAGGAAGGCCACATCCAGAATTCCTCCTTTATCCAGAACTTCCGGGTCGGAACACCCATCTCCTTTTATGTCTGATTTGGTATCCTGGTCTTCCCAGGCTTCCTGACACACAGGACCTGAACAGGGTTCTGGATGTCCACAAGGGACAACGTTCAAACATGTTCTCCACCAGTCAGAAACTGGTCTAAACCGGTTTTAAATCAGATTGGGGACTGTGTAAAACCAGAGCGAGGGACCCTTAGGGACCTGTTAGTGACATCATCAGCTCTGGGGTGTCTCACCTCATCGAAATCAGCGATGATCTCGTTGAGCAGCCGGAGGCACTCCACTCCCTGGTTGTTCATCTCGGTCTGTGAGTAGAAGTCGGCAAAGCCGGGAATGGAGGCGAACATCACGCCCACAGCGTCGTAGGACTGGGAGTAGAGCTCCTGTTGGGAAAACGAGACGGATGGGATAAACACTCAGGATCCGGCAGGAACAGGCAGGGAGGTTTCAGTCCTGAATCCTTCCAGGTTTGTGTTTCTGAAGCGTTTTAATGTTTTATTGTCTGATCTGATCAGGAGGGCGGAGCTAAAGCTCAGGACTCGTTCGTAGAAAACGATTCATTTGTTCCTTTTGTTCAAAAAACAGATACAATTCAAATTTAAACTCAATCATTTTAGTCTGGTTGGTTTTGGCTCTAAGCAGGTGAGTGTGTGTGTCCTACACAGCAGCACTACAGCAGTTCCTCCACTAGGGGACAGTGCTGTCCCTTACAGCAACCATGTCCACATATCCTTTGATAACCACAGACATGTACACGTTTATATAAATGTTCGTGATGATAACAACGACCAGGAAATAAAACTCAGGGCTGACAACAAACAGGAAGTCCACTCAGCAGCTGAGTCTGTGAAACACTACGGACAGATCAAGACCCTAAACAAAAGCAGATTTTATGATCAGTTTATTTTTAAGTTTAAATTATTCAAATTATTTTTCTGAGGTAAAAACGAGTCAAACAATATTCATGAGTTTGGTTTTATAACTGAAATAAAAAACTTTTACATGATGTTAAAGATTTTATCTGATTTTTACATTAAACCTTTATTTGGTCAAAGTCCTGATTTCAAACCAGAAAATTTTATACTTTAATGAAAACAAAATGTCTAAAACCAAAAATAAATAACAAAAAATGTTTAATTCTTTAGAAAGATCAAACCTTTTGTATTAATTTTTAATTTATTAACCACCCAAAAATATTTAAGTAATATTCAAATAATTCAAAGAATTCCTATTCTGATTCTGAAATATTATCAAAGCACAGAAATGTTTTTAATGAATTTCAGTTTTTTATCAAATAAATATTTGATTTCAGATAGAAATATCACTATTATTATTATTATTATATTAATTGTTATAATTATTATTATTACATTAAATATTATTATTATTATTACTGATGATGGTGATGATAACTTTTAATATAATAATAATAATAATTATTATTATTATTATGCATTTATTTATTTTCATTATTACTATTATCTTGACTGGATAAATCTGATAAACTCGTTTCTAATCCTTGTCTCTCCTTCTCCCAGACCTCGTTGTCCCGGTCCTTCTCCAGGAAGTGGCGGGCTACATGGCTCGGCAGGATGTTCCTCAGCATGTTCTCGTTGTGTTCTCGCAGCTCCTTCATCTCGTTGATCTCCTCCTTGGCCTGAACCCGCCACAGAAAGTCCAGCCGGGCCGTGTACTCCAGCTGGAGATGGGACACATGAAGATATATCGGATTATCACAGATTTTAATCCATGATTCTGTGGCACCAGCCTTAGATTTACAGTAAAAGTTTCAAACTAAATCTGACGACCAAGAGAACAAAAACAGCTATTTAAAAATTCTGTTTAGTTTGTTCAAGTAAGAAAGTGTTTGCAACTCCTTTGGGAGGAGTTGGAGACGTGCGAGACTACAGGCTGATTCATGCTTCTCACGCAACGCCATTATCCGTCCTTGCGTAGGGCTCCGGCAGGCACGCAAGTACGTACGGAGTCAAGCCCACTTTTTTAAACATCCGTCAAACGAGACGGAGAACGCAAGCTTGTGATTGGTCAGGGCACCGCTGTCGTCTACACTGCCGCCATTGCGCCCTCAGTGGCAGACACAGAGAGGCTTGAAGAATGCATCGCGAAAAAACTCAAAATATGAACGTTTAATTCTCCCTGTGACTGGATGAGTGAAAAGATATGCAGCAAGCATTTTATTTGTGGACGGAAATGACAGGAAACGTGGGTTGAGTTGGTGAGCGCATGAAGAGGTGGAGGATGATGAGAGACAAATTTGTCGTGGTTAAAAAAAAGCCTCTTATATACATAAAACACAATATAAACACACTATCTTGGACCGGATACATGACAGGATACCACAGAACAGCGCTACGCCCTCTGTTGTTCTGGCGGGGAATTGCTTTGCAACACTCCCCAGGAAACGGAGAAGTATGAGAGCAAAACGCTTCTGTCAATCCGTGCGTGTCTGTCCCTTGCGGAGCTGACGGAGAAGCATGAATCAGCCTTAACATGGGAAACAGGAAATCCCAAGAGCTCACAGACGACAGAAGACACTTTGTGACTAAAGTGCAGCAAGAACATTTCTGTCATTACTGCTGTTTTTTTTATCTATCTATCCATCCATTAATCTCGTGTTATCACCAACGCAAAGACTGAGTTAAATAAAGCCCCGCATGTCCTCAACAACCTTCAGAGGACACCTGGACAGACAGTCCAGCCACACTTAGACATAGAGAAGCCATTCAGCCGTCATTCATCCATCATCCATCCACCCATCATCTATGTTTATGTTTATTGATTTGGCAGATGCTTTTATCCAAAGCAACGTACAATTTTTAACTTGTAGGGCATGTTGTGATCCGTATGGGAAACCGGAGTACCCGGAGGAAACCCACGCATGCATGAGGAGAACATGCAACTCCACGCAGAAAGGCCACAGCCGAGTTTCAAACCTGCAACCTTCTTGCTGCGAGGCAACAGCGCTAACAACTGCACCACCATGCATCTATTCATCCAACCATCAGTGATTCATCATCCATCCATCTGTCATTCATCCATCATTCACCCACCCATCATTCATCTAATCATCCATCCATCCATCCATCCATCCATCATCTATTCATCCAACCATCAACAATTCATCATCCATCCATTCATCCATCATCTATTCATCTACCCATCGTCCTTCCATCCCCCCCACCCGCCCCTCTACCGCCACCATCCATCCATCATTCATCTATTCATCCATCCATCAATCATCCATCAATCCATCATCTATTCATACATCCATCATCCATCCATCAATCATTCATCCATCCATCATCTATTCATTCATCCATCAATCCATCAATCATTCATCCATCCAACATCTATTCATCCAACTATCAGCAATTCATCCTCCATCCATCCATCCATCCATCCATCCATCCATCCATCCATCCATCCACTCCCCCACCACCATCCATCCATCATCTATTCATCTACCCATCATCCTTCCATCCACCCCCACCCCTCTTCACCATCTATCTATCCATCCATCCACCTCCACCCCTCTCCACCATCCATCAATCTCCCACCCGCCCCTCTACCACCACCATCCATCCATCAGTCATCTATTCATCCATCAATCCATCATCTATTCATCCATCCATTCATCAATCCATCATCTATTCATGCACCCATCATCCATCCATCTTCCATCAATCATTCATCCACCCATCATCTATTCATCCATCATTCATCCATCCATTCATCATCTATTATCCAACCATCAACGATTCATCATCCATTCATCCATCATCCAACCATCCACTCCCCCCTCCACCATCCATCCATCATCTATTCATCTACCCATCATACGTCAACCCACCTGCACCCGCCCCTCCACCATCTATCTATCTATCTATCTATCTATCTATCTATCTATCTATCTATCTATCTATCTATCTATCTATCTATCTATCTATCTATCTATCTATCTATCTATCTATCTATCTATCTATCTATCTATCTATCTATCTATCTATCTATCTATCTATCTATCTATCTATCTATCTATCTATCTATCTATCTATCTATCTGTCTGTCGGCATCAGTGCTGTAATAACTTCTACAATTATAACTTACACATTACTTTTTCTCAGCTTATACATGCAATAATTTATTGAAGGCTACATGTCTACTTTTTAATGAATGGGTAAAAAATAAACAATCTGCACTCTTTTAATCATCTTAAACTTTTAAAACTATTTTAACATCTTCAGTATCCTGCTAGGCTTACACATTATGTGTGCGCCTATATAAACAACTGTATTGTACTCTGCTCTGGTAACTATTGTCCATGATGTAAATAGGTAATAACTGTGCTTCTGTTCTGTGTCCTGCATTGTTTGTATATGTGTGATGTTGCTGCTGACACAACCAAATTTCCCCTTGTGGGACTATTAAAGGATTATTCTATTCTATTCTTCTATTCTTCTATCTATCTATCTATCTATCTATCTATCTATCTATCTATCTATCTATCTATCTATCTATCTATCTATCTATCTATCTATCTATCTATCTATCTATCTATCTATCTATCTATCTATCTATCTATCTATCTATCTATCTATCTATCTATCTATCTATCTATCTATCTATCTATCTATCTATCTATCTATCTATCTATCTATCAATCCCCCCCCCCCACCACTACCACCACCACCCACCATCCATCCACCCCCACCCCTCTCCACCATCCATCCATCCATCCATCCATCCATCCATCCATCCATCCATCCATCCATCCATCCATTTTCTTCCGTTTATCCAGGGTCGAGTTGCGGGGGCAGCAGCCTAAGCAAAAAGGCCCAGGCTTCCCTCTCCCCTGCCACCTAAGCCAGCTCCTCCGGGGGAATCCCAGGTGGAAATAAAAATGAAATGCAGCACACAAATTCCTCAGAAATGAAGGATTTTGGAATGTGGTTAAAATTGAATGATTTATTATGTCAAAAGTATTTTAAGAAGTTTTATGACATAATTTCAAAATTATGTTTAATAAAGAGGAAGTTGAGGTGAAACAGATGTGGAAGAAAAAGACAAAAAGCCACGAGGACAGAGTTTAACTTTCTTTGTATGTTCTGAATTTCACCAAACCAACATTAATGAGTTTAACCTGTCAGTCAGAGCGGAGGGAATAAAAGCCCTTTGTCAGATCTAGAGGAAAACTGCATCCTTTAACTGTTGATAATGAGAACATTCCTCATCTAAACCGCAGCAACGTCTGATGATGAAGTCACGGCTAAAGCAGCAGAACAATTCAAACGGATTCATTAAAAAAGCATCAATGATGCAGAAAATTCGGTTGTAGGAGGCCGATAACGCAGCAGACTCATTAGTGCTTTCATTATCGAAAACTTTGCACTGATTTTCTCTTTTTCTAATTAATCCTGTTTGGAATCAGATGTTTGAATCTGTCCATTTGTCCTCAGAGGAAGAACAACAGCGCCTTCATCCTGATAAACGCCTCTAGAGGAATTTGGAACACATTTACTCCAAAAATATTTTTAGTTTTTTGTATCAATAAAACGTAATTAACAAAATGTTTTGAAGTGGTTTCTTTAGCCTTCTGCGACGGTCTGTGCCTCCTCGTTTTGGACCCTTGCTCCGTTTCTTCCTCACATCGATAGAAACGGTTCTGTCTTCATCAGGATGTAACCATTAAAACAGGTTTCTGTTGCTAAACTCTCTCCTTTTACTGATCACAGCTCTTTCATTTGCTGTGACTTAACTTTTAAACTCCTCCAGTGGCTGTTTGCCAGAGTTTGGTGACGGAAACAGTTGTCTCTGAACCAAAAGGAAATGAAAGTTGGGAATAAACAAGTCTAAAATATTCATCCTTAAATTCAGGGCAACAAAACCCACTCCCATCTGGTCACAACCATCTGTCATGCTCCACGACAACATTTCAGCAAGGAGCTGAGAGGAAATCCTAATAAAAGCTAAACGGACCCGCTCCGGTATGGAGATAGGATTGGGACACTATTCAATGTAACTTGTACCAAGTTTTGTAACTTGGAACATGTTTCATGCCATGTAACTTTGGATTTGTAACTTGTAACTTTAGTTTTCTAACTTGTAATTCTCAGTTTGTACTTGTATTTCTTGTTTTGTAACAGGAAATTTTCATTTTGTACATGTATTTTTATTTTGTAAAATCAAACTTTTATTTTGTACATTTACTACTCATTTTGTAACATCAAACGTTCATTCAGAAACATGAAACTTTCGGTTTTTACCTGGCAAACTTCCAAAATAAAAAAAGCAATGTGTAAGTTTGAAATCAAAACTCGCATCCATCTGTAATGTAGAACAATCACGGGTGTTTGTCTTCCTACAAATGCTCGGAAAAATATAAATTGGCTACTTTGTGAAGGAGTTAGGACATAATATAATATATAATATTATTCAACAGTTACCACAAATCGTCAGGGGAAATGTGATTATATTAAATTTTTGTGATTTGTCCCACCATACGCCGTTCAAACTGACTTGGATGTTTGGAACTGAGAGCTCCATGAACCACGTGACCGCGAGTCGGCGAGTTCAAAGAGTGTCGTAACTCTCTCTTTCTACAGCTCTGACAGAACCCTGCCCTCCTCTTCCAATCATTGGACAGGAATTCGAGAAATGTGATTGGTAGCTAAGACTCGTGCTCTCATTGGTTCCACCCAAGTTCTTCCCAATGACGCTAGAATCGAGACAAAAAGATTCGTAACTGTAGATTTGAGGTTTGTACCTGTAGAATGAAATGTGTTTTGAGAGTTTTGATTTCAAACTTGTACCTTGATTTTTTCAATTTGGAAGTCTGCTAGTTACAAAACGAAAGTTTCATGTTTCTGAATGAATGTTTGATGTTACAAAATGAGTAGTAAATTTATAAAATAAAAGTTTGATTTTACAAAATAAAAAATACATGTACAAAATGAAAATTTCCTGTTACAAAACAAGAAATACAAGTACAAATTGAGAATTACAAGTTAGAAAACTAAAGTTACAAGTTACGAATCCAAAGTTACGTGTCATGAGCGCCGTTATGGCTGCTCTTGTGATCTGCCTGCATCTGTTCTGTCTATATGTGTGTGTGTGTAACCTTGGTCAGGCTGTTCTGTGGAGTCAAGTTCCTATGCTCTGGTTCGCTGGCAATAAAATTCTCTCTGATTCTCTGATGAAACATGTTCCAAGTTACAAAACTTGGTACAAGTTACATTGAATATTGTCCCAATCCTAGCTCCATACTCCGGTACTGCTGAAGATGAGACCAGAATCACAGACTCACCACGATGCTCTACAGACTAAATATGTTTCAGGAGAAAAGAAGGAAGTCAGAACTTCGCTCACAACGAGAGATTTATTATCGATCACGGGACGTTTGTCTATGACTGATTAACCTTTGGGGTCAACTCAGTTCAAGATGGTCACCACAGCTGATCGACACTGGCAGAGAGAAACATCTGTGAGAACGGTCAGAGCTGTGGCTGACTGGTGCAACACTTCAGGGGCCATCATTTTAAAGATGGCATTTGCCTGTTGGTGTTTACCCCAGAAAGAACCACCGCATGTGGTCCTACGGAGAACCTGGAGCTCTGAACAAGAGTCAGGTGAGGAAACAGGAGCAGATGTTGGAGTTCGTCCCTGTTCCTCTCCTCTGATTGGCTCCTCCTAACTGAACCGGAGGAGTGAAGGAGACAAAGGCTTTAACATTTCAGCTAGCCCATTAGCTCCAACAGAAATCAGCTCAAAACTCTGACCTGAACTTCCTGCTGATGGAAAACCGTCTCTCATGTTAGCGTTCGTTAGCGTCTCGCTCTTGGAGCTGGCCGTTCAGGCTCTCTTGCTGTGGGATGTCTCCATCTCTCTCTCCCAAACAAGTGATGGAATCGACCGCAGAAATCGTTATTGTACACCTTCAAACACGACTGCTTTCTGCTACAAAAAACCTCCAATTACATGTGCCCCCCACCGCTGAACCACATCATCAATGGTTGCTATAGCAACCCCCTCCGGCCATAAACCCGACTCCAGCTGGATGAAAACTGCTTCTAGAATGGATAAGACTGATAAGTACCTGCAGCAGAACCAAACAGGTCATGTTTACCTCATAAGCAATCGGATGTTCTGTCCTAAAACTTCAGATTCATCCTGGTTTTCCAGACATCCTCTAGATCTGTTTACACCTGCAGAGGTGAGTCCTGCGCCCTCAGAGAAAAACCCACTGGGATTGGACCTACAGACAGAACCATAGTTCTAAAGAAGGGAAGATCTAAACACAGAGGGTCAGAAGGTCCCAACACGGTCTCACATAAATAACAGCAGCAGGTTCCTGTTCGGGGAATGTTCGCGTCGAAACATGAGAGCCGACGGGAGACTCTCAAAGCCCATTTAAAGTAGTCACTGACACAAAGCTGCAGGAAAACGTCTAAATTTGAATCAAATAGCTTTTTTATTTTGTCACATTTGGATTTGCAGTGATGCTTTTATTTTGATGGTTTAGGGATGAGTACCAAATTCTGTACTTTTTAAGGCACCGACCGAATTCCATAGTACCGAATGAGTACCGATTCATGTCATATGAAACGGTGACTTGTTTCGGTACTTGTGCCATGCACAAGAGCGTAACGTTGTCAGTCACTGTGGGCGAGCTGTAAACAAAGAGAGGAAGTGTTCTGAAGTTTGGGCCCACTTCACTAAATGCGATGGGCTATTGGGTGATGATGAAACCAGCGGTAAAGATCTGAGGATGAGGCATCTTAATCTGCTCCAGCAGCTAAAACAACTGTTTAAGATAACATTATCTTGACATTTTAGTTTTTGTTTTACATAGCTATTCACTTTCTTCTCAGAAATTCCAACTTCCGAGTAGGAAAAATAAACAGTTTGAAAATGAAGGGCAAAAGGAACGAAGATACACAGTAAATTTAGTTCACAGCAAAGATGTTTGCTTCAGTGTAATTTGTAGTTTATAAAACTACAAGGACCCACCATCACACAGTTTGTCCAGATGAGAAAGGAGAGAAAAAGGAGTACATGGAGCTGGGCTTAGTTTGTGGAACACCACAATATTATAATACAAACTGTTGTACGGTATTGACGTTTGCTTTAGTTTCATTTGTAGTTTATAATATATGGTCTCCTCATCAGAGTAATTCCAGAGGGCATAGAAGAGGATTAGGAGTGCATGAAGCTGGGTTTATTTTTGCATCATTTAGAAACAGTTGTTGTTAAAGGTTTTCATAATGAAGAATTTTATACAACACTACGATGAAAAAATACAAACAGTTGTATGTTATTATCATGATATTTATGTTTATGTTTATGTATTTAGCAGACGCTTTTGTCCAAAGCGACTTACAAGTGATAATCGGCATTTTGCCCTTGAGGCTAACAACAACAATAACAACAACAAATTGACATCAGTCATTTATCAAATATGGTTATATATTAGAAAAATAATATATATGTAATTAAAAAAGTGATTTAAATAATTATTAAACACTCAAAAGTATCAAAAATTGGTACCGTTAAGTACCGGTATCGATTCGTAGGTACCGGGAATTGGCACAGTATCAATTCAAATGTCAAAGGTACAAATTACAAAGTAAGTAAGTACAACGGGTCATCAGACTTTACTCCACATTTATATGACCCCCACAGTCACCAGCTAAGCCTAGTGGTAGAGTGTCCACTATGGGACTGGGAGGTTGTGGGTAAAAATCCCAGTCGGGTCATAGGTTAAAGACTTCAAAACTGGGACCCAATGCCTCCCTGCTTGATGCTCAGCTTTAAGGGGTTGGATTGGGGGATTAAACCATCACCAGTGTGTCACGTCCCTTCACCTGTGTGTGTGATGTCACTTCACCTGTGTGTGTGATGTCATTTCACCAGTGTGTGATGTCACTTCATCAGTGTGTGTGACGCCATTTCACCAGTGTGTGTGATGTCATTTCACCAGTGTGTGATGTCACTTCACCAGTGTGTGTGATGTCATTTCACCAGTGTGTGTGATGTCATTTCACCAGTGTGTGTGACGCCATTTCACCAGTGTGTGTGATGTCATTTCACCAGTGTGTGATGTCACTTCACCAGTGTGTGTGATGTCATTTCACCAGTGTGTGTGATGTCATTTCACCAGTGTGTGTGACGCCATTTCACCTGTGTGTGTGATGTCATTTCACCAGTGTGTGATGTCACTTCATCAGTGTGTGTGACGCCATTTCACCAGTGTGTGTGATGTCATTTCACCAGTGTGTGATGTCACTTCACCAGTGTGTGTGATGTCATTTCACCAGTGTGTGTGATGTCATTTCACCAGTGTGTGTGACGCCATTTCACCAGTGTGTGTGATGTCATTTCACCAGTGTGTGTGATGTCATTTCACCAGTGTGTGATGTCACTTCATCAGTGTGTGTGATGCCATTTCACCAGTGTGTGTGATGTCATTTCACCAGTGTGTGATGTCACTTCATCAGTGTGTGTGATGCCATTTCACCAGTGTGTGTGACGTCATTTCACCAGTGTGTGTGATGACTAATGGGACTTTAATGTCTCCTGGACCTCCAGGCTCCATCTTGTCCTTTTCCCACACGTGGAGCTTAAATAAAAACAATAAGAAGTATTTTCTGTAATCTTTGAGTTTTCCCAGAAAGGTTCTGCAGGCTGACGGAAGGACCGGCACCAACAGCAGAACCGGAGCGTTGATGGAGCCACGCTCTTTGAGAGATTTCAGGTCAGAGTGAATCTGACTTTTCAGATTGTCTCCACTCCACTGAGACATGATTAAATAATTAATAATGTCAGGTCAGAACTTTTAATTAAACAGTACGTCAGATGACTTCATGCTTTTTAATTTAAGGGTCCGCTGGTGAAGCTTTTTATTCTCCCGTTTAATCAAACGGCAGCAGGACGAGACTGAGGCTAAAGTCTGACTGAGTTTGTATTGAGATGCTCGACGTGACCATGACTGTATAAAGAAAAGTAGCTGACCTTTGACCCTTCTTTAGAGGTTCTGGTCATAAAGCAAACATGTAGCTGAAACATGTGTTTTACATGAACAGATTTTAGTAAGAAGCTGCAGAATTTCTGGTCGACTCAGCATTTTTATCAGTTGTTTTTAAATTCTTTGTTTTTATTAAACCTGTTTTAAAAACAAACCCTGACCCGATTTTTGTGTTAAAAGCATCAAAAGGATTTTTCATTCGGGTCTAATAAAAATCTAAAGTCATCTGTAAAATGTTCAGACGAAAAGAGGAAATGGTATTTTCACAATAACGTGTTTTGAAAGAGCTTTTCTGTGTTTTTCTGACTGAATCCAGCAGATTTAGAGGATATGAATGTGTTATTCACCTTAACTTGTGATAATTTTTAGCAGTTTTTTTTACCACGTATAAAATTTAAGACAAAAGCTCAGACTGGAGGATGAACTCAGGTGTGTGGCAGGACGGAGCTGATAGATGTTTAGTGTAAAGGTGAAAGCTCTCACCTGCTGACCGTGGTAGAACACGGCCAGGAGGAACATGGCCATCAGGAGCAAAGACGTCTCTTTGGTTCCCAGGAAGTTCCTGTTGGAACGAGGAAAGAAAAGTGCTTCAGGTTATTTGTGTCAAACTCCAGTTTTAGTCTCAAATTATTCCATCACAGTAAATCAGAAGCAGGCAGTTTATCCCTGAAAGCATCAGATCTTCTGTCTGATCTAAGTCCGTCCAGAATGAGGCCACGAATGAGGCCACAGCAAAGAGGAAACCCTCGTCTTCATCAGCATTCAGTCATAAACCACAGAAGCAGAACCAAGTGGACGAGCAGCAGCTCCTCTGCAAATTTTACACATACACACATGGTGGGGGGTGGGGAGTAAAACTGAAACTGCAGCAAGATGTGATGAAAACAGTCAGAGGGTTTATTTCCAGCTCAGACGGTGAGAAGCTGTTGGGAGGCTCAGGGAGGATTAACAGCTGCTCTGGGCTTTTCACGCGGTTAACAGCTGAACTCCCACAAGTGGAAAATAGAAGATAATTTGTTTTCAGAGCAGAGAGGATCATCTGGTGGCAGACATTCATCGTTTGATGTCTTCCGCTTGTGGTGATGGTGGCTGAAACCTGACATCCTGCCTCAGTGAAGATGCAGGTGTCACGAAATGATGTCAAGCTTCTAATGCAGCACCAGCTATTAGTCTGGTGCAGGACCAGCAATTAGCTGGGTTCGGAACCAAGCATTACCAAGGTTCAGAACCAGACATTAGCCACATTCAGCACCAACCATTAGCCAGGTTCAGACCCATTAATTAGCCAGGTTCAGAACCAGACATTAGCCAGGTTCAGAACAATATATATACAACACAACTAGGATTACTTGGGACTAAACTGTGAGATTGGGATCATCATTTATTTAGCGTCGTCATGGAGAAAAGTGGCAAACATCAAATCAGCGCAGCAGATTAATATTTACGTGTTTCCAGTAAAGTTGATTAGGTGAAATTCTGGAGACTAAACTGTTAAAATCATGAACAAAATGGAGCGATTTAAAGCAGCTTGTGTTTGATAAGAACCTGCAGCAGTTTCTTGTTTTATATTTAAGCATGGACCTTTTATTTTCTATAATGGCTGTAATGATGGAGTGTGACAGTCAGTTACGGTGGATCCTTCATCATAACGTAGGAGACAGACTGAAGATAGATGAAGCAGCGGCTCCTGCTCAGACAGAAACTCACTCGGTGTTGTGGTGGACGGTGTCGTAGCGGACGAACAGCGAGGTGTAGAAGGCCTCCGTCAGCAGCGAGTAGATGGCGATCATCACCAGCAGCACGGCCAGCTTCAGCACAGAGTTCAGACGCAGGAACACGGCGCACGTCACCATCGCCAGGATGCCGGTGAAAACGAAGTACTGGAATCAGGAAACAGGCGGATAAATCAGACACATCAGCTCAAAACGAGCCGCTGACAATTCCTAAAGGTGAGTCCAGAGAGGAAAATTTACCTTACCTGATAAATAAACAACAACCAAAATATCAGAGTAAAAATGTTCAAACTAGAGCTAATAATAGTTATACAGAAACATATAAATACACAGTACAATAGAAATCATGGCTGATATAATTATTTGTTCTTACCAGATTAATAACGATGGAGCACAAATTATAATCCTTAATAATAAAGTTGAATTATTGGTTTACTCACTCATTTAATGTTTAACTGAGATGTTAGTTAATCCCTCAGTAACCGGCAGCCACTAGATAAGATGTCAGAATAAACATTAATGTTTAACTAACAGCATTTCCCATATTTACTACATATTTGGCTAGGTTTCTGACAGGCACTAGATGTCGAGAGCAAATTACCCCAGTGCTGACTGCTCTGCACTGGCTCCCGGTAAAATATCGAGCTCAGTTTAAAATCTTAACTCTCGTTTATAAGGCCCTCCAGGGCAGTGCCTCCTCGTACATTACTGCGCTTTTGAACAGGTATGCTCCATCTCGGTCTCTTCGCTCAGCCGAGCAGGAACTTCTGGTGGTCCCCCGGTCGAAATTTCGATCGAGGGGTTGTCGTGCTTTTTCTATTTTGGCTCCAACTCTGTGGAACGAATTGCCACTGAGCATTAGGCAGGCACCATCCCTTCAAGTATTTAAGTCTCGTTTAAAGACTCATTTTTATCTGATTGAGTTTTAGCGCTAGGGTCATTTGAATTGCCCTAACATTATGGTTTTAACTATTCTTCTTTTTAACCCAGATGCTTGATTTTATTTTGTCCGACATTTGTTTTTTTTATCGATTAGTCTTATTCCGATATCTCTTATCTGTAATAGTGTTTGCTTGATATTTTATGATTTTATGTTTTTATCCTGCTTTTATGCCCATGTACTGGGAATGTTTTTCTTTTAATGATGTTGTTCAGCACCTTGGGCTTCGGATAATGTTGTAGAAGGTGCTATACAAATAAAATTTGATTGATTGATTGATTGATATTTAATCACATAGTTAACAGTTTTTAGAGCATCAGTTAGACTGAAATGACAGTAAGGTAATGTTGGTACTAACATAGTTAGAATACTAGTGTTAGTGTTCTGAGCCAAGTAATAAATCAGGTGTTTTGATTAATTCAGCTTTAACTGTGTTTATGTCTCTGGAAACCTTCCAAGTAAAATGTTATCAAGCAGCTGAAGAAGTGATAAATGTGTTCTTATGTTGCCATAAAGGAAGCTCTAACGTGTTTCAGACTGGGTGTTTGTTTTCTGTCGAGCTGCTGCCGTCCCAGCAGGGGTGGACTGGGACAAAATTTCGGCCCTGGCTGCTCGCGGTTGTGTCGGCCCAAGCTGGGCAAGCGGCCCATCGGGACGGTGCCAGATAGGGCAGTCCACCCCTGCATCCCGTCCGCCCGATGGACAGGGTCATTCTGCTTGGGTGATAATAAATCTCATAAAGGACGTCCCACTGTTCTCTCATTCTGACCCTACAGCTTTTATTAACTTTTGCTGCAGCTGAATAATATCCTCTCTTATTGAGGATCGGTGGGACCCTCGAGAGGGGAGGAGTTGTATCCAAGCAACAACACATGACTCAACCCAAAGCTCGGAGGGACGAGAACGCGGCTCCTGATTGGCTTCATCAATCAGCGGCATGTTGTGTGAACAAAGTAACATGATGGATATGTTCCACGTGAGGTGGCGATGGCTCCATCAGTCGCCGGTGTCCAAGGCAAAACCTCCCTCTGGGCGCCGGCAGCTATCCAGGATGTTTAATTCATCGTTTTGTTGTAGAAGTGAAAAAACAAAACAGATGGACCTGACTGCAGATTTCAGACATCACATGTATTCGGTACCTCTGGGTAGAAGCAGATGTCTGGGATGGAGGCAGACTCGTTGTACGTCTGGTTCCTGAAGGTGTTGGACTTATCGAAGTCACACCATAGCTGTGAGAAAAGGACCAACAGGGTCCATCAGACTCAGACGGTCAAAGTAACACTAACAAAAAATAACATTTATAACAAAAAAAAAAAACACTGACATTGTTATGGAAACAATAAAAATATACCACTTTTTATCATTAAAATATTTAATCGCTAAAACTCTTTGAATAAAATTTTCCGGATATCAAAACATGATAAGAAATACACTCAAAAAATACTAACAAGAAAAATAAATAATACAAATAAATGTCAGCAATTAGCTTTTTGTAAATAAAGCAGTAAAATAAAAGGAATACATTCCAGGTACGGATTTAAAAGTAGGCTCCGCCCCTTGGGGTGTGGCTAAAGGCTTCTCAACCACACGACCACTGACTGGTCTAGAGGTTTACTACAACCTGTACTTACTATATTGATCATGGCTGCCAGGAAGTTAATGAGAATGGAGACGAAGATGATGACGTTTCGCGCCGCGTACGTCTCGTTTATCCAACAGCACGCTTTCCTCAGGACCAGAGGCAGACACTTGTAATCCTCCGCCGTCGTAACTAGAACCAGGCAGGAATGGAGGATGATGAGGACTGAAAACTGGATCACCATGGTAACCATTCTGCATAAACAAAATAACAAGATAAAAGATTTATACTAACTGCACAAGTCAATCATCAAGCTCAGAGATGTTGTTTTAGGCTCAGATGTAAGTTAAGACCTGCCACCGTACACGTGGCGGCATGAGCTAGCATTAGCCTAACGTAGGGCTAACATCAGCATAGGAGAAACACCAGTTTCAAGGTTTTATGTCTGTACGAGCAGAACGAGATAGAAAACCTTAATGGTAACATTTTACTGATAATTTCCATTATTTAATAACTCATTGGAAAAGATGAACATACATATGCAAAAACACATGTTTTCAGTTTATAAGAAACACTTTAATTGATATATTTTTGCTAAAATTTGTCAATATGTATACAAGTTTACATATTTCTCTTTTGAATTGTTGGGAGTTTTATAAATCGAAAAGATAATATTATGGAAAAAAGTAAATCCATAAATTATAAACAACATATGGAAAAAATGAATTAGTGGCAAAAACAAATCAGATTTCACGGAGGCCTAAAGGGCAGTTTGACTTTAGTTTCTATAAAACAGAAGCTAGCTTAAAAACAACAATGCTAACATACAATTATATGGTGGTAATTAGCAAAATCATCTAATACAGAAAAAATATGGTGATTTTATTTAATTCTGTAATTCCCAGCTATTTATGAAAATGTAAAATATTGGGAATAAATATGTTAGGGGCCCTGATCAGTCCCTTACCTGGCAGAGGGAAGCAGGCTTTGTATGGTTGTGATGAAGATGAGCACAATGAAGGCGCACACCAGGTTAGACTTGAAAACCTCGTCCCTCATCTGTGAGTACTGCACAGCGAAAGCAAAAAGAGGAAGAATAGAATGAAAGAGGGAGAAGAAGTGAGGGGAAATGCAGAGACAAGTTGTCACACAGAAACCGTGAAGCCTGGCAGATCAAACAGCAGCCAGCATGGATGTACGGCCACACACACACACACACACACACACACACACACACACACACACACACACACACACACACACACACACACACACATGCAAGGGTCCAATCACAAGCGTTAGAGAGAGACAGGAGCTGGTGGGTTAGCCTGGAAGGCGAAAGCTAGGGGTTAGCTCACACGCTAACGGAAAGTGCTGAGTCACAACTACCACCAAAGCTAACGGAAAAGGCTGAATGAGAACCAAGACTTTGTCTTTCTTTGAAATATCCCTTTTACTTTGGTAATCCTCATTTTAAACTCAAATATATGAAATAAGATTTAAGAAGAAATAGCAGATGTTCTGCTGTTTTGATACACTGGATTATTTCATGTCACTGACTTTAATGTCAATCATTAAATAAATTTGCATGTGGAGAAAAATGTTTCTAATAGTGATATTAACTCAGAATCATCATAAATATTATTTGTTCTTATTTCTAGTGGTGAGTATTTTAAAAACATCGAGAAAAAAGGAGAGGTCTAAAGTAGCCACTAGCTAGATGAAGCTAAGCTAATTAGCCACAACTACAAGTCAGTTCCAACACAAAATAAATAAAACAAAAGGTCAGTTTATGCAAAGCCTTGCTCTTTCACTGCTCAAAGGTGAGTTGTCTGTCCAAGCGCATTTGCAGGTTGAGCGGATAGCAGAAGATGATTTTATTATTTGTGCTTAAGTCAGATTTATAGGTTCAACTCCAGTAATGCCTGCTGCCCAGTCCTCACTGTCTCTTTCTCAAAGGGTGCTGGGAAATTAGCAAGACGATGCTTCACCTTCGGTCACAACTTTGGCAAAAGATAGGGGGAAAAAGGATGATGGAGGCCAACACCAAATCACTGCACATTTACTGAGGAGGTCTCACCAAATGGAGAGGAAGGAGAAATATATATTTAGGGATATTTAAACATGTGTGTTATTTTAATAATGGTTCGATAAAAGGAGAAACACAAGTATGAGGGGATAACTGGAGGTTAAAGGTCAGCGTTTTCATGGAACAAAATTTTACTTGCATTCAGAAAAGAAAAGGAACATTTTGGGACACATTGTTGTGGTTAAAGGTTTATTATCTTACAGTTATGACTCAACCCCTCATTATTATTAGATAATTACCCAGAAACTACTTTTAATTCATTAAATGTAATTATTTTACAATTAAAGGATGCTTTATGTCAGTGGCTCCCTAACATCTAACCTCATACATCAGAGGTGAAACTATCAAACAATCCTAAAATAAAGAATCATTATGTACTACATATTTATATTTAGGCTTATATTTTCAGATTTGACATCAGTTGTAGGAAAAATATTCAATAATAAAATATTTCCCCAATTCTTTTTACTTTAAGTCCCTAAATGTAAGGAATCATGATCCAGACTGGGAACCACTGCACTACGACAATATATATATATATATATATATATATATATATATATATATATATATATATATATATATATATATATATGTGTGTGTGTGTGTGTGTGTGTGTGTGTGTGTGTGTGTGTGTTGCTATGGAAACCACCTGTTTTGAATGATACAAAAATCCTTGTGTAAAATTATTGTTATGTAGAGCTCCGGGAGTTGACGTCACTTCTCCCGGCACGCAACGGTTCAAATCGAATGGCGCCATCTTGGCAGGCAGTAGACCGCATCTAGGCTATTTGTTATTGTCAGAAAACTCAATCAAATGGGAAATATGGTAGATTTCTGTTGTGCCCCAGGATGCCAGAAGAGATGCGGATGAGATAAGGGAAGAGCCATCTACAGGATTCCCCAAGATCCAGAACGCCCCAAACATTGGATCATCGCAATGAAACGCACTAGCCTCCAGGCTAAAATGAAGCTGTGGGATCTCAAGAGTAAAGGTTTTCGCTTATGCAGTGACCACTTCATATCAGGTACTTAAACCAACGTTTCCTCAACTGTATATGGTATTTATTTTAAATGCTTTTATTACGATTCTTAGTGGGCTTCCTAAACTTATTTTCTGTCTTATTACTCATAGCAGCAAGTAAACATCCCGTAAAATGTTGCCTCGTGAGTTCTGCATGCTGCCATTTACGTGTCTTATGATCACAGCAATTAACTGGCTAAGATGTATTTCATTTTTAAGCAATGTTGATCAATTGTTGCTGTGAGTAATAAGACAGAAAAAGCCATGCCAAAATAAGTTTAGGAAGCCCACTAAGAATCGTAATAAAAGCATTTAAAATAAATACCATACACAGTTGAGGAAACGTTGGTTTAAGTATCTGATATGAAGTGGTCGCTGCATAAGCGAAAACCTTTACTCTTGGGATCCCACAGCTTCATTTTAGCCCGGTCACTAGCGCGTTTTACTGCAATGATCCAACGTTTGCGGCGTTCCGGATCTTGGGGAATCCTGTAGAAGGCTCATCCCTTATGTCGTCCGCATCTGATCTGCATCCCCGGGCACAACAGGAATCTACCATATTTTCCGTTTGAGTTTTCTGACAATAACAAATGGCCCAGCTGCGGGCTTCTGCCTGCTAAGATGGCGCCGTTTTGATTTGAACTGTTGCATGCCGGGAGAAGTGGCGTCAACTCCCGGAGCTCTATAAGTGAAAATGAGCAATTTTGGATTGAAACATCAGGTTTTTTCACATGGGAGTAGCTGTAAATTGTATTCTTAGTCTTTGACAGATGTCCTCCATGTTTTACTATTTAAATGTCTAGAGATTAGAATTTAGTTTCACCAAAACCATGTAAAAGGCCTTTATTATAATATTTACCATTTTAAGATAAAAGTCTCACGACAATGAGATGATTATGAAATGTAGAAACGATTGTTTAGAGCACCTTTGTTTTTGATTTTCTTTAGGGAATGCAGAGGAAAAAAAGTTATGAAAAAAAATCAAGAACATTAAAAAAATAAATCTAAAAAGTTGGATTAGTCAACTTTTCCCACCAAATAGCAAAAGTATAATTTGGTCATGAGTAAACTGAAGGGCCAAAACAATGTCTGACTGTTCTAGACTTAGTAAAGCTAAGCGGTAAATGTTTTAACAGGAGCCATATTTAAATATGTTTAAAGTGCAAAAGTAATCAGTAATATTAAGTATCTATGTTGGTACGGAGCCCTAAATTTGAATTCTCAGGTATAGTAATACTTTTATAAAGACGTGGGCCAAGTTAAACTGAATTTACAGAGAACTACAAAAACATAACAGATTAAATAAAAATAACAATTTCTCATTTCTGCTTTAATTCTGCTGACCTGGTGCAAAACTCAGTACAAGTCATTAGAACAAGAACAACTAAGGCTCGGTAATAGACTCAGTCTTGATTCATATTTAATGTAATAAAACTTAATAGCTGAATAAATGTTAAATCTATAAACTCGTTTTTTTAATCTAGACTCACCAGAGACACAAAGTTACAGGAAAATATGGAAATTTTCAGCTGGAATGATGTAGGATTTTCACGTTTGATGCATTTGAAACAAATTTTTTTTTCGTAAAAACAGCATCACAAGGGTTGTAATTACAAGCTGCAGCACATTTTTTGTAATAATTTTGTCACAAAAAGACTTTTATATCTCCTGCTAGTTCCAGATGCACGAGACAAGTCTATGACCCCCTCCAACCCTAACCACCCTTACTGATCATTCTACTGGTTCAATACAGATTAGTTGGAGTCTATAGTAAACTAATCATTGCATTTTTAATTAAATGTTTAATGTACATAAGTATGAAACCACACTGAGCGGAGGGAACCTCTTACACGGTCCCGGCTCCAGGGTTTAATCGTGATTCATGTAATCACGGAAACTAAAAGGGATGTAAAGGCCTTTAGCTTACTCATGATGAAGTGGAATAGTTTTGATTCTGGAAATCTTTCTGATAGATATGAGGAGGAAGAGAGAAAAGAAATAAAATAAAAAAAAAACAGTTGTCTGTCTGAAGCCCCAGCTACCTTCTCTTCCAGGCTGGAGTCTTTAAACATCAGAGAGAAAGGCTTGATATGCTCTCTCCTCAACTTATCGCCACTCCGTAAGTCGATGGCACTCTCTATTCGCTTGTTAATTTCCTCAGGACCAGAGTGGACATGCAAAGCTTGTGCAAGATGGTTTGGAAGCAGATTTATCGAATTTCTCGTTAGGGCAGCCAGAGTCTAGAGGGAAAGCACATGCACATAGAATGAACCTGCTTGTCCCCCTTTTGTGTTTCATTCAGGTTACAAATGAAAAGAAGAACAGACAGTTTGTTACAAACACAAAACCAAATTAAGGACAAAAGGGAAAATGCAACATTGCCTATCAGACAGCTCAGAGCGAGTCATGCATGCCCGCCCCTCTGTCCTGCAGCGTGTTAGTGGTGAATATGCACACATCGTCACAAAGCTGAGCTCTATGTGCACGGCTGAGAGGTGAAAGAGCTAAGGAAGAAAAACACATTAAACAGGTGGAGAATAAAAATCATACACCATCAAAACACATGAAAACATAAACATGCCAACAGCCTAACAACACAAGAAATTTTGGCTTCATTTCTTTTTATCACAACTCCTGAGAATGTTTCTTAAATGAACCCATCATCGGTTCATCCAAACACATCCGGCAGGTTTAGGGATAATTCCGGTGTCTGAACAGGAACATAGTTTATGTCATCAGAGGGAATAGGTATATAGAATGATCCAGGATCCAGCAGAGGAAGTGGGAACCCTAACCCTAACCCTGGGTACACATCCTCAGCAGCAGCAGCAGCATCTAACCCCTACATCACACTGATGAGCTTTAACAACAGGCTCTGACAAGGGCAGCTAAGTGAGCTCTCCCTGATGCTAACAGCTGCTGGTGGAAGTCACCAGTTCATATGCTCACATATAAGAGCAAAACACCGGTTCACTCACTCATCTATATCACCCCTCATTTCTCACTGGGGTCATGGAGAGCTGGTGTGTAAGCGAGAGGCGGGGCTGTACCTGGTCAGGTCGTCAGTCCATCACAGGACAAACAACCTGTCCCACCAGGGGACACTTTATTGCTAAATGACCTGCACTTGATTAGCACCTTCCCAAAGTGCTTTACACTACAGTGTATCATTCATCCATTCATGCCCTGGTGGTGATGAGCTACAATGTAGCCACAGCTGCCCTGGGGCGCGCTAACAGAGGCGAGGCTGCCGAGCACAGGTAATACCGGTCTCTCCGACCACCAACAGCAGGCAAGGCTGGTTAAGTGTCTTGCCCAAGGACACAACAGCAGAATTCTCTGTCCGGAGCCGGGACTAAACCTACAACCTTCTGATTAGTGGACAACCCGTTCTACCTCCTGAGCTACTGCAACCTGACAGTCTTAACCTGAGAGCTGATGGGTTGTCACATCCATGTGGATGTCCATCTATGACGACTGCTCAGGATAAAGAGAGTATAAAGAGCTGCTGTTTGTTCTGAGGAGCAGAAGCACTTCAGGGGACCATGATCCAGGTCATACGTAAGGATAAGCGTCATCTTCTCCCTGCCGCTGACATCATCGCCGCACCATTACCACAGAGCCAAAGCAGCTACATGCTAGCCTGGCCTGCCAGTTCTCTGTTTAATTCGACACAGAAAACTAACTCCCCATAAGGAAGCATGGGGCTGGCCGGCCAGGCTAGCTTCATGCTAGCTTTGTTCAAATGAGCCTGTTAATTGTGTGAGACCTGCAAAGCTGCAACCATTAAAGTCAGAATGCAAGAAACGCCTGAAGATAGAGAAATGAGATTTATATCCAACCAGCTGAGCACCTCACCTCATCAACATGCTAACACATGAGATCCATCACACTCAGGCAGATCATTAGGACATCATTGTAGCTCCTCAGCAGTCAGCTGTGTTCTCACCCCAGCTGACCTCAGATAATTAATGACTGCAGTTTGATCGTTTAGGTCTGACAGTTCGCCTTCAGCATGGATCAGCATCGGGGTCTCACGTATCAGTATGACTTATACAGACAGATAAAAGGTTTGTCTGATTCGCCCATCAGAACATCCGGATCGTTCAGTTAGACAGAAAAACCCACATCGGTCACCGGAGGACCTACCCCTAACAGGATTCAGAATCAAATCTTGCTCAGAATTCACAGGTTTTCAGATCTGGATAAAAATTATTTAAAAAGTCCACTTATTATTAGCCGCTCAACCTTGTGAGACACAGTTCTGCTAACCCACTCCAGAGGGACTTCTCACCCGCCCACTCATCATGGACAAACTGCTCCAGCTGTCTCAGGCCTGAAGGGGTCCTTCTCCAGATGTTCCAGCTCCTTCCACAGATGCTAACCAGGTTCCAGATCAGGACTTCTAGAAGATCAAGGTCTTTCCTTTGGTTCTGGTTCATTCTGTTTGTGTAATTTTTCATCCTGGTGAGAAGCTGAGACCAAACATTTTGACCCTGAGCAACACATCTGGCTCCAGGACGTCTCCAGAAGCTGTCCAGAACAGAACTGAGCCTCCTCCATGTTCCATGGTAGGTCTAGTGTCCTCAGAGGCCAAAAAGCTCCCGTTTGTCTCACTGGTTCAAAGGATGTTCTCCAGAAGCTCTGAGGCTCCTCAGCATGGATGTGGATTCCAGACTGGTCTTTGGGTATTTGTCTCCAAGAGCGGTGTCCTCCTTGGCTGTCTTCCATTAGGTCTCAAACAGCACTGAGACCATACTGGACACACCTGATCTAACCTGTCCCTGTGGACATGTCTTTTTACAGCTTCACAGACCAGGGGTCTCATTTATCAAACATTGCGTAGAATCCTTACTAAAACCGTACTTAAGCTCAGCAAAAAAAATGTACTTATGCCAAGTAGGTTTGTGATCTATCAAACATGGAGTACGCACAGCTGCACGCAATCTCCGCTTCATAAATCAGAAACTATCTAGAAAGGTTCTCAGCTGCTTTTTAGTCCCATCCCGCCCCCACCACGCCCACTTACTGCCATAAATGGTCAATGCAAAGTGCCTTGTGGATCTCATGCATATACATAAGCCGGCTTGTTGCAGCGCTCCGCCAATGACATGGCGACTGTAGATCAAGGCAGATCAAGGAAGCGCAATTTCACAGAAGCAGAAATTGAGGTACTTGTGGGTGAGGTGGAGAAATGAAAGGAAGTGCTTTTGCAAAACAAATAAGAGAAAATCCACAGAGTGGCACAGCGTTGCTGAAGCTGTCAATGCTGTGAGTTCTTCAGAGAGATCTGTGTTGGATAAAAAAAATGGTCCAATTGGGATTCAATCCCCAGACTCCCAGGTGAAAGTCACGCGCGCTAACCAGTCATCCAAACAGAGATCTCCCTTGTACAAGTAGCCAGGGCGCATGATCAATCGGGTCACAGTGACAGGACACACACACTGTCACAGACGCATGACATTCTGTCTCAATCTGTCCCCCTGCTGATCTTCTGCATTCCCTATTCTGCACTTCAGACTGGGTGTGTGTGCGTGTGTGTGCATGTGGGGGGTCTTGTTCTGTGTGAACACAAAGCAGTACAAGTGATAATGCTGCAGGATTTCATAATTGTATCCTTCTCAGCAGCAGCACTGCAGGTGCTCTCCATGTCCAAAATGTGCGTAAGCCAGGTCCTTAGTCAACTTGAAGTTGCGCACGTTTTGCCGCTAAGTTTTCTTCCATAAATCCCAAAGTTTGCATGGAAAGTTTCTTTCGCAGTTTTCTGACCCTGTTTTGTGCGTAAGCAAGCTTGATAAATGAGGCCCCAGATCCAGACCAGTTAAAAAATGTTTTCCTTATAATTTTCAGAGGAATGTCTGATTTTCAGTAAAACTAGATTTTTCATCATCTTTGGCCAGCTTCCTGTTATTTCAGTGACCTTTGTGGGTTTGTTAACGAGGGTGCCATCGTCTTCCTGCAGCCCAGCCAGGAAAGCTGAGCTCCCACTGGCTTCCAGAGCACATTTATAAACAGCCTACCTCATGAATGAGAAAAGCAGATCAGCGTAAATGAGATGTAAACTAATTACAATCTAGAATTAAAAATAGGAGGGAGAGCTGAACTGAAGCTGAACTTGAACCTCTCATGCATGTGAATGAGAACACGCGTCACATGATTAACATATCTGACACACGCTGCCTGATTGTGACTGAGACGACGCTTCGAGCCTCGGCAGCTTTAAGCTAAAGGCCGAGTTGGGTCAGCGACACGGAGAATTCATTATCACTTAGCTTCAGTCATCTCCACCATCAGGGGAACCACGTGTGCTGCAGGGGTCATCCGTGTTTATATGCAACACAACACTGTCGTTGGACAGCTGCTGCTCGAGCCAGTAAAATACAACCGAGGTCAGACCTAAAGGTCGTCACAATAAGAACCAGACATATTCACCCTTATGAAGGCGTTGTGCATGAGCGCGTCGGTCTGATGCGCTCACATCTCAAGTCTCTCCTAACACATTTATAAATTGAAACCAGATAGAGAGCTTCTATACTTTGGTACATAACTTTACCTGTAACTGAGTAATTTAGTAACTGAAACTTTTGCTGCCTCTTGGCCAGGACTCCCTTGAAAATATGGTTTTTAATCTCAATGAAACCTTCCTGGTTAAATAAATAAGGATAAAAATGAGGTCCGGTCATGTGACCTTCCTGTTTACTCGAGCCACGCATTCAGGAAGAATCCCCCCCGGCAGAAACTCAGCAGAGTATTTAAGATCATGAGACACCAAGAAAAAAGCACGTCAATGAAAATGTAACATCAGAAGCATTTCCACAGTTTTAAAAACAGGATTTTGTGGTTGAATCATCATGAGTCAATAAATATCTAAAGACCCACTTATCTTTATTTTATTTTGAAAATCTGTAGGAATGTGATTGGAACCCCTCACCATGGGGTTTTGTGTCCATCAGAGGAACATTGCTGACATCACTTAATGAAATAAAAAATGTATTTATTTATCATTAATTAAATGTATCACCTGACCCTCAGCCTCTGATTCTTGTTACTTCAGAGGTATTCTGCTATTCAGGGGTCTCATTTATCAAACATTGCGTAGAATCCTTACTAAAACCGTACTCAAGCTCAGCAAAAAAATGTACTTACACCAAGTAGGTTTGTGATCTATCAAACATGGAGTACGCACAGCTGCACGCAATCTCCGCTTCATAAATCAGAGACTAATGAGAAAGTTTCTCAGCTGCATTTTAGTCACATCCCGCCCTCACCACGCCCACTTACTGCCATAAATAGTCAATGCAAAGTGCCTTGTGGATCTCATGCATATGCATAGGCCGGCTTGTTGCAGCATTTCGATCATGACCGCAGATCAAGGCAGATCAAGGAAGCGCAATTTCACAGAAGCAGAAATTGATGTACCTGTGGGTGAGGTGGAGAAATGAAAGGAAGTGCTTTTGCAAAACAAATAAGAGAAAATCCACGGAGTGGCACAGCGTTGCTGAAGCCGTCAATGTTGTGAGTTCTTCAGAGAGATGTGTCAGATATAAAAAAAAGATCTGATCAGGGTTTGATCCCCAGAGTCCCGGGTGAAAGTCATGCACGCTAACCAGTCACCCATACAGAGATCTCCCTTGTCCAAGTAGCCAGGACGCATGATCAATCGGGTCACAGTGTCAGGACACACACACACAGTCACTGACGCATGACTTTCTGTCTCAATCTGTCCCCTTGCTGATTTCTGCATTCTGTATTCTGGCTTCAGGCAGTGTGTGTGCGCGCATGCGTGTGTGTGTGCGTGTGTGTGTGTGTGTGTGCATGTGGGGGTCTTGTTCTGTGTGAAAACGAAGCAGTACAAGTGATAATGTTGCAGGATTTCATAATTGTATCCTTCTCAGCAGCAGCACTGCAGGTGCTCTCCATGTCCAAAATGTCCAGGTCCTTAGTCAACTTAAAGTTGTGCACATTTTTCCGCTAAGTTTTCTGTCATAAATCCCAAAGTTTGCGTGAAAAGTTTCTTTCACAATTCTCCGACCCCGTTTTGTGCGCAAGCACGCTTGATAAATGAGGCCCCTGGACATTACAATCAACCCTGAAGTTCATCCTGCCATCCTGGGGCGATGGGGGCACAGGAGTTAAGTGCTCATCCTGTAATCAGAAGGTTGCAGGTTCAAGCCCCGCTCAGTCTGTCTCTGTCATTGTGACCTTGGGCAAGACACTTAATCCACCTTACCTGCTGGTGGTCGGGGGGGCCGGTGGCGCCTGTGTACAGCAGCCTCACCTCTGTCAGTGCGTCCCACGGCAACTGTGGCTACGTTGTAGCTCATTTCCACCAGGGTGTGAATGGGTGATTGTGTTGTAAAGCGCCTTGGAGGGTTCCAGAACTCTAGAAGGAGCTATATCAAATACAGGCCATTTACTATTATCTGGAAGTTCAGCTGCAAGACAACAAAAGCCTGTTTTTCTCTGGAGCCAGAGCCTTTCAGGGAAGGAGAAACTCTGCATCAAGAACTTCACGGAGGACTTTCTAAACCCTGTTTCCAGTTTTTGCTGCAGGACAGCATGAGCCGTCTAACCGGATGTAGCAGTCTGAACTTCTCCATGACTTTTACTTCTATGAAAATGAACTTCACCTTCATTTAGACAAAAACATCTTTTTTAATTTCCAGTCAACTAATTGTTGCCATCGGGCTGATATCTAAAATGATTTTTATAGTTATCGATGGTTGGTTTGTTGCTTAGTAGTTGCAGCTTTGGTAGCTAGCAGGTCACTTGTTTACATATTTATTTAACCAATAAATACACACTTTAAAAATGAAAATGCTCGTTATACATTTATATTGAAACAATTATATGTATGAAATATAATGATGCGTTCCAGTTGTTCTCAGAACTTGAATTAAAAAATAGATTTTTGTCTGCAAGAGGACAGGATCCCTGTCCAGTCAAATCCAAAAGTCCTGTTTCCAGGTTGAAGGAATGGCTCAAGAAAAGAACTCCTATTAACAAAATAACATCTCAATAGTGCCAGCATTAATATGTTATCGTATATTGAATGGCCTGTATTTGAAATAGTGTCCTGGAACCCCCCAAGGTGCATTACAACACAATCAGTCTTCCACTCCATGAGCTACGATGTAGCCACAGCTGCCCTGAGGCGCACTGACAGAGGCAAGGCTGCCATTCACAGGCGCCACCGGCCCCTCCGACCACCACCAGCAGGCGAGGGGGCTTAAGTGTCTTGCCCAAGGACACAACGACAGAGACAGACTGAGAGGGGCTCGAACCTGCAACCTTCTGATCACAGGGCAAGCACTTAACTCCTGTGCCACCATCAACCCATAATTATACTTTTTTATAATATTGTACCCATCTTTGCTCTGGGAGGAGTAAAATAGCACGATACAGGTCCTCCAACCTTCTTCACAACCCAGTTAAAACAGAATGGATTCATTTTGCTTCTCAGAATTGAAAACAACAAATGACCCCGAACACCACATCTGCAGCGGCTTATTTGTTGTCTCAGATTAGAGAAAGATGGGTTGAGAGATGAGAAGATGTTTAATGCAGCCACTCAATCTGAAGCTCATCATCCTCAAAACCAGGCAGGCGGACACACACGATGAGTCGTTACCAAGTCTTCAAACAGAAAGACGTCCCTTGTTTCAACAAAGAAAAAGAAAAACAACAAACAGCCAGGATAACTGGGAAGATCCCATGCACTGCTAAAGCAATGGCCTGTCTTCTCAGACAACATCGTCCTGCAGTGAAGCTTTAAGAAGGTTCTGCATGATTCCACTTAAGCCAGGAGTGCACTGTACAACATTTTCAGTTGTATTCAGCTCCATCTCAAACTCTACATCTCCTAGCCAGGGCAAAAGTCACAAGTTGTGTTCTCACAGAAAACCAAACTGTTGCCTTAGTTCGACTGACATGGGATTTGTAAAATGCATGTAAACGCGTTCGTCTGGCAGAAGTGGAACAAACTGAAACTGAGTTTCTCTGCAGCCTAGCCGGGCTGGGACCGGCTGGGTACTCCCCTTCCAGAAGCGCCGAGGCTGCGGAGGTGGCCTTCTGATAATATCACCGCCACAAAGTACCACCACCAACCATACGGTACGCACCGTATCAGCTGCGCTGCAGCGTTGTTCCTTCGGCTATTCTTCATATCCTGTTTACACTCCTTCTGCTTCACTCACGTGAGTGTTTGTTTACTATTTGTGTTGCTATAGGCTAACAGAGAGAATGCCGACACAAAAGGGCGCATGTCTCATGACACAATTCGGTTTTCTAACCGACATGTAAACCAGGATAAAGGCTTTCATTTGTACCTTGATTATTGCTGTAGCTCAACTAAACACACTGATGGTACGACCCAATGCAACCTAAAAGTAGTTTATACTGAACACGCTGGACCTTCCGATCAGAAAACCCAGAAGAAAGAGGACTGCTGTGCTATAGAGGATGTTTGTTGTCCTTGAGGTTCGCCGTAGTTGAGGGAGGACATGCAAGGGTCCAAGGGGTTGGAGGAGAAAGGAGGATAAAAGCAAGTAAACCCATGTTTTGGGATATCTATATCTGGCATGAACACGGCAAACACGCTTTCTTGACATTCCCATTGTTTGTGGAGAAAACTGTAGAAATAAAAAGAAGGACATGGGTGCATGGAGCTGGTCACATCATTAATGTTTAGTTAGCAGCTAGAGTTAGCAGGCACTTCCTGTTTGTGTAGAACCCACCAATGTGACCAGGTAACAGGTACGGAGGCCTGCAGCAGCCAAAATACCTCCATAACTAGAATGACTCTTACGAGTGAATACTGCGAGAGCCGTGAATGCCTTCTAAACTTTAATAACTCCGTGTTGCTTGACCCAAGTGAGCGTAACTAGAACATCATGATTTACTTTTCAGGTATTGTGAATGACATCATATGGCCCACCCCCAGACTCAATCTAGAAAGAGTTTTAATCTTCAGCTGCAGGACTGTTTGTCTGTTCAGACAGTCAGATCAAAATAAACACGTTCACGCTGCAGCCAGACTCACGTTCTGGTTCCCCACAATGTTGTCGAAGGGGAGCTCGGGGCTCCAGGAAGCCTCGTTGAAGGTGGTGCTGCTGGAGCGGCGGTCGGCTGAGCTCGCTGCCTCCTTCATGATGTCCTCCGGCAGAGTGAGCAGACTCTCCTCGGGCTGCTTGATCAGGTACGTCTCGATGTTGTGGCGGCGGAGGAAGTCATTCCGGTCTTTGCCGTGGCCTTCCTCTACCTCGTAGTCGCCGTTGAGACAGTCCAGAGCTGCTTTGGATATGTGGATCCTCCTTAAACAGAAAAGCAAAGTTTATGTAAATGAGCCTGTCGTTTAAATGGATGGTTAGCAAACAAATACACACACAGCTAATTTCACAGCCCACACACAGTTTACAGTTTTATATTTCTTTATTTGTATTTCTAATCATTTCTGGATTGACTTTTCAAACCAGAGAAGTTTGAGGCTTTCTGACAAGTCCCTGAGCAACGACTTTCTCCCCAGGATAAACTCCCTGGATGATGTAAAAAAATTTAAACTGAGACAGATAAATAATCTCGTAGAAGGCGAAGAGACAGATTTGATCAAGCAGATGCTAAAAGTTCATCCATCAGAACAAATCACCCCAAAAATGTTGTTGCAGCACCATTTTCTCAATATGGACCATCTGGTAGCCATGCAAGGCTACAGCCCTTTCGTACAATCCTGCTCCAACACAATGGAGTTCTGATCTCCTCTGTATTCAGGGGAAGAAGCAGGATGACCATGTTTAATGAGTAGTAAAGCGTTCCAGAGTATTCTGAACTCTGCAAAAGAGCATCAATAATGACATGAAACATATAAGGAAAATAAATTCCCCTCAATCCCCCCCCCCCCGTTCATGAATCTCCACCTCATCGTGGTGGAAGGGTTTGCGTGTCCCAGTTTGATCCTGTTGAGTTTGCTCCTGGTTGCATCTCATGGTGAGGTACCAGACTGAGAGTGACTGAATAACTCCTACAGTTCTAAAGTTCCTGAAGCACCTTTGATGGAGTTTCTCACCAGATAAATGCAGCATAAATCAGACAGCTCAAGATCTTCTGAGTTTGGGTCTGTCAACTGTCTGTAGAGGATTCTGAAGACGTGTGGATATTCGTGGTGTTGGTGTCAGGTTTCTTGCTTTTTGGCCTGAGTGGTTACCTGGTTTACCGGAAAATTAATGAGCTTTCGAGGAATATTGGCTCAATCTTGAAGCTCAGGGATGGATTACACCGCGCTTTGAACGCACAAACTCATATAATTGTTGAGATGAGTCGAACGCTTGGACCTTTGGCTGAGATTCAGACTCTGGCACAGAAGGTTGATTTGATCAAGGAGAGAGTTGACGGGTCAGCACGGATTGGGATAGATTAATTTATGCCATTATTGGATTAAGAGGGGTTGAGGACCAACATAACTTTAAGACAGAGAGGAAATTATCTCTGTCTGGCCCCAAAACAAGTTCTTATCTGAATCTGGTGCCCTTGAGCCTGTGAGGCTGAAGTGAATACTCCCCCTCAGAAGAAACGTGGAATGCTGCCGTCGCCATGGTAACTCTGTCTCCCTATCCCAGCCCGGGCAGGTCTGCGACCGGTGAAGGCCGTTGAATGGTTTCCAGAAGTCACTGTGCTTTCTAAACCCAAATACCTCCCTCCCCTGTCCAAACGGAGGTGATAAGCGCTGCTTATCGTGGCTGCATGTACTGACGTGTGGAGAGTCCCCAACCCTACCTCCCCACCTAGTGGACACTTATGTTGTGTGATGTCTGAAGTCTGTTGCATTTCTGTCTGAGGTGTTTTTTGCATAGCAAAGCTGCCCTCTCTGTTGAGGGTAACTCTGAAATGCCTTTTTTTTCCCTCCACCTGACTCAATCCTCATGTAAACCCTCTGATCTCTATTAAGGTGGCGCGACTCGGGTTGCGAATGACCACAATCACCAATTCTTGTCATGTGTCTATGTCTATGTATGTATGTCTGATATCAGAATTGTGTGTACTGAAACTCTAATTTCCCTCTGGGATTAATAAAGTATCTTTGAATTAGAATTAGAATTTGAAGAGATTGTATTCCAGTAAATATCAAAGGTCACAGTATGGTCACACTGGGAGGACGTTCAAAAAACAGCATGGAGGTGAAAACTCCCATCATGCATCTCAAGGTGAAAAGCAGAACATTTGGTGGGTAAAGATTTGAGGTTTGGATCTTCACTGACAAGAACACCTATGGCTTTCCTCACCCTGGGATGCCTCCAGACTCCAGCTTGTTGGCGATGTCCACGTCCCAGGACCAGACGTCAAACTGCCACTTCCTGAGTCCCAAAACGCCACAGAGAACCGAGCCTGAGTGGATCCCGATACGCATGTCGATGTCATGTTTTGTACAAGATCTTACGTATCTGCAAGAAGAAACCATACCATGGACATCAAAATCAAGTGGATCTAGTGTGTTTTATTAGTTCTTAACTGAACTCCTTCCAGACCGTCGTCTCAGATTCCCATCAGAGCCCTTCTGACCTTAGAGCAGTGCTTCCTAACTCGTAGGGCTTCTGCAGAAACCAGGTTGGATTGCTGATTGATGAAAATGATATCTGAAGCTGCTTAAAGGCACCGTCTGAGATTATTTTCTGGAGCTATGTAGCTGTGCCTTCACAGCTCATCCTCACCAGCGTGTGAATGGGTGAATGACTGATTGTGCTGTGAAGCGCCTTGGGGGGTTGTAGAACCCTAAGGAGGTGCTTTACAAAGATAGACCATTTGATTTAAAGCTGCTTTTACCTAAATCTTTGTTGCTTTTCTTCTTTTTTTAACTCAAATTTAAACTTTTCTTTCATTTGTTTTATGACATTTATGAATATTTTATAATTCAACGTTTGAATATATTTGTGGTATTTGTGGTTTTGTTTGTAAAACTTTCTGATTTAATGACTTTATGATGTTTAGGTTGTCCCTGAAGCATTTTGTGACTCTGTCAGTGATGGGTGATGTTAGTATAGTTATTAGTTTTATTAAAACTCATCCTTCACCTGATGGTTTTGAGCATGCTCAGTCCCATCTCCACGCAGCAGTGAGCGTGATCTGGTCTGGGCTCGGGGAGGCCGGACACGCAGTAGTAACAGTCTCCTAGGATCTTTATTCGTAGACAGTGGTGCTCCTGCAGCAGAAAAACATCATCACATTGTCATGAGTAGTGTTGTTACTGAAAAAAGTAGCTAGTTACAGTTGCTAGTTACATAATTCAAAAGTCTCAGTCTCAGTTTCTTTAGTGATTACTTACACAAAAAAGGAATGCTTTACTGGTAAAAGTAACTTTTTATGTATTAAAACAATCTTAAAATACTTCCAGTAAGCTGGAGTATTAAAATCTACCAATTTGACCATCTGACCCTTTTGCTCGTTACCGTCAGTGCGAGGACAAAATAAGGATCAGCATCTCGTAATCACGAGAACGTTTCTCTTGTTCACAACGTACATGTCCCAGAGTCTCAGCACAAAGCATCCAGGTGCTACAGGCACCTGGGGTGATGATAAATGACCCGCACTCGTGTAGCACCTGTCAGAGTCAGAGGGCTCCAAAGTGCTTTACACCACAGTGTATCATTCACCCATTCACACACTGGTGGTGATGAGCTACCATGTAGCCACAGCTGCCCTGGGGCTTGTTGACAGGTGAGGCTGTGGAGCAGTGGTGCCATTGGTCCCTCCGTCCACCACCAGCAGGCAAGGGGGGTTTAGTGTCTTGCCCAAGGACACAACAGCAAAAGTCTCTGTCCGGAGCCGGGATCTAACCTGCAACCTTCCGATTACTGGACAACCTGCTCAACCTTGTGAGCTGCTGCTGATCTAAGACCAGGTGTGGGATCTGGAGTTAAATGAGGATAAACTGAGTATCGCCAGCTATGCTAACTGAGAATGAGTGTTATTTTGTTGCTACCGTTAAAAGCTAACATGTGTTTTCTTCCCTTATTTTCAAAGCAAAGGAAATAAAATAGCTAATCAGATTATAATATTATTCAATTTATTACTGTGGCGCATTAATTGATTATTACAATAATGAACAGCTGCAGCCGTAGCTGGTCTGTCCCTGAAACGTCCAGGTGGCACGGGAAAAGCATAAATACCCTGTATGGTAGCTGTAACCCCTCCTTTCCACCAGAGCCGTCAGCAGCACGTTACTGCAGCAGCACGTCATAGCTGCTGATAGGAACCGCTGTGGTCAACAGAACCTTTTCCACAGGAGCCGTCAGCAGCGCGAGTCGACCGCGTCTCAGGAGAAGCATGTCGCGGCTATGGAGCTAGGATTGGGACAATATTCAATGTAACTTGTACCCAGTTTTGTAACTTGGAACATGTTTCATGACATGTAACTTTGGATTCGTAACTTGTAACTTTAGTTTTCTAACTTGTAATTCTCAATTTGTACTTGTATTTCTTGTTTTTTAACAGGGAAATTTCATTTTGTACATGTATTTTATTTTGTAAAATCAAACTGTTATTTTGTACATTTACTACTCATTTTGCAACATCAAACGTTCATTCAGAAACCTGAAACTTTCGGTTTTTACCTGGCAGACTTCCAAAATAAGAAAATCAATGTACATTTTTGAAATCAAAACTCTCAAAACATACATTTCATTCTACAGGTACAAACCTCAAATCTACAGTGTTACAAATAATTTTTGTCTCAATTCTAGCTTTGGTGGGAGGAACTTGGGTGGAGCCAATGAGAGCACGAGTCTTAGCTACCAATCATGTTTCTCGAATTCCTGTCCAATCATTGGGAGAGGAGGGCAGGGTTCCAAGTTACAAAACTTGGTACAAGTTACATTGAATATTGTCCCAATCCTAGCTCCAAACCCGGCCCTTACACGCCGGTGTCGGTACAGGATCTGCTCGGGGTCCTTTGACTGCCGATGACTTCAAAGTAGTTGATTGGCTGAACATGAAGCTTACAGAAGTGACGTTAACACGTTATGATTTAGATTGGTCAGAACAACTTTGCGGTCGTAGTCTTAGCGGTTGTAGTCCTGTAGTCCAAAAATCAACACTTTTTGGAGAAAATATGTTTGAAT